TCGATAAATTGAATATAATTAAAGGAAATATTTATTTTTCAGTGTTCAATTTTGGAGATTTGCTGTGACGGGGTGTGACAATAATTCAGAACTAAAAGTATGGTCGTGCGAAATGTGGACTTGTTTACAAACAATCAAATTTGCTCCAAATCCTTCCACGGGCAAAATACCGGTACTAAAAGCAGGCTTAGATCTTGGTGCTGGATATCTGTTTCTATCAGACATATATAATAAAATTTTATATATATTAAGTCTTACGAAAGATAAAAATGAAGCGTTAGCTTGCATAAGCACGGTATCAGAGTTTCTCCTGCCATATCCAATTCTAAGTTTCGGAATTGTCGATGCTGATCAACGTAAAATACGGTCAACTGGCGAATCATTAGAAGATCTATGTGAAGAAATTGAAGAGAATGAGGAACAACTTGTTATTTACATGTATCTAGTCCAACCAAAGTCACTACAAGAATGTCACATTGCTTTTAAACCTGCCTCACAAGCAAGTAGCAATTATCTTATAGATACACTTGCTCATGATACACTGGAATATTCTGAAGATATGCCAGATATGGGAACTGTTACTCACAACGGTATGTCCGGAGAAAATTGTGAGGGAGAACGATCTTTATCTTCAGCAATTGAAACAACAATTAATCATAATACTGGTGGCTTAAACTTAATGACGCCTGATGCATTCAGTTCACCTGCAAAAAAAGATAACAACGAATTAGAGTCTAATCCAGGAAGTCCAGATTTGAGAAAAGTCTTATCAAGTAGTCCTCTTGCACAGGCGGTGCAAGCTTTGAATGCATCTGACCCACCATTAGTAAAAAATGATATAGAAGAGCAAGCTCCTGCAAGTTGTGGAAGCAGTCCATCTAGAGAAGTAAGAGAAATCTTATCTCTTACTAAACCAGATGAAGAAACTGATATCGACGGCAAACCGGAAATAAAATCGAATGCCGATGAAGATTGGTCTAATATCCCGATGGTCTTGCTTAAAGATGTTAGTGTGCATGCAATGCAAGAGTCTGAAGAATTTCCCGAAGATGAAAATAATATGCAAAGGCAAAAGACAAAAGAACCGAAGACGTCGTCCCTTCCTACCGATGATCCTGGATTATCATGGCGAACAAACAACGATGTTGAATTAAACAATAAGTTGAAATCTATTTTAGATATAATTCAGGATCAGTGTCAAGAATTAAAAGAGTTACGTACAGAGGTTACTAGATTACGGCAAGAATCACCAGTATCCACGCGAATAGAATCGGCATTGGCGAGAATGTCTCAGCAACAAAATGCGAACTTGGAACAAACTCTATATGATCAAATGACTCGTCAACATGAATTTCTAAATACATTTGAAACAACAATCAAAGATAAGATTGAAAGTACCTTACCGTGTATAGTTGAAGAAACAGTAAAGCCTTTGAAGCATCAAATGAGACTAGACGCAAATCAAATGGACGAACTCTTCCAGAAGAACATAAGTGAATTGATAAATAGTTCACATGTAAAAGATACCTTAGCTTTGACAGCTGCAAATGCAGCAAAACCAGCTTTGGATGTTGCTTTTAAAGAAGCATTTACAACTGTCCTCTTACCTAATATGGAAAAGGTTTGCCAAATTATGTTTAAACAAATCCAAGACGTCTTCATTAAAGGTACTCGCGAATGTAAGTTATTCCATTAATATGAGGACAATTAAATATTTACTTCAATGTACTATGTAACATTTTTTTTTTTAGATTTACAACATATCGATGCAGTTATCGATAAACAGAATCAACGTCATAATGAGCAATTAAGCGAAACATTATCAACATTGGTACGCGAAGAGATACAAACTGAATTGAATAGAATTTTAACGACAATGCAAGATAGTACTATACGAGTAGTTCGTGATTCTATACGAGAAAATCTAAATCAGCAACTTACAGAAATTTCTACTGCACGGTAAGGATAAATCTGAAATTTAACATTAAAAGTACTATCATGAAGATATTATTAAAACACTTTATTCTTGAAACCTAGATCAAGAGCTACAACCCCTGCTATACCTGTAACCGCTGTAGCTGATGCTCAATCACGTGTTATGTCTCTTCTTCAAAGAGGTCAACTAAACGCTGCTTTTCAACAAGCTTTGAGTGCAAGTGATTTGGGATTGGTAGTACTAGTGTGTGAAAAAACAGAACCTTCAAGGGTATTTTCGTGTACAGCACAAGGTTCACGATGCATTTTGCAGCAACCCGTGATTCTTTCTCTCGTACAACAATTATCTGCTGATTTAGGACATCGTACAGAATTGAAACACAGGTATTTATTATTTCATAATTTAATATAAATCATGAAAAAGATATTGTATAACACACATTTGTAAATATTATAAAATATTTTAAGTATATATTTTTTAAATAAAAATACTTCTTTTTAGGTGGCTGGAAGAAGCAATATTGAATTTAGATCCAAGTGATCCCGTAACACGAGAACATATGGGCACAGTGCTAATGACTCTACAAAATCAATTGGCTACATTTGTAGCAAGTAATCCGAATCATCGATCGACGAGCCGCATGAAAATGCTCGCTATGGCTACACGTGCATTATTAAGTCAACATCCTTGACCATCACGTTTGTGAGATTATTCAAATACATGATATAAGATTTTTTATGTTCTGTTTAAAGACTACTTTTGTCTAAAAGCAATATTAACAAAAGTCATGTTTAAGACTGTGTGGTAGTAATTTTCATATAGAATATACAGATACAGATGTATGCGAAGCCATTACCATTCACACTACTTTAACAAACATTTAGATTCAGTTTAGTTCTATTTAACAGATACACACATGTATTTAATACGTCGTAAATTTTCATTTATTTTTTATGAGCTTAAATGCTTTAATAAAACTTTTTAAATAGTTTTTACATAAGCTATATTTAAAAAATAAAATAAAAAATAAATTGAAATTTAAAAAACTGTAAGTTGAGCACAATGTTAACGATATAGATTAGTATTAGAAAATGGTCAGTGCTAAGTCTAAAAGAAAATAATTTTTTAATTTCATACTGTTAAGTTCTGCATGAACAATGTTACATTCTACATGTGTGATTACTAAAAATAAATTTCACTTATAAGTTGATAGTAAAAATTACAAATATTTCTTCAAATTTTATAATCTCAACATAGTGCATGCATTTCATAATATATATTTAATCATACTTGTATGAAAAAATGCGTCTGTAAAAATTTTATTAAAACTAACTTTAAAAGGTTTTGTCTTAATAATTGTTTAGAAATATAATTTTTTGACCGAAAAAAAGATTCTATTTTTGTGACTAGCAATTTGTGAACTAGAAAAGGTCTATATTGGAATAAATAAAAATAAATGTCATGATAATTGTAATATTCAACTGAATAAGATAAATGTGGAATTGTTTTACTTATATATGATTTATATGATTGAGTTCAAATATTTGTATCTAATAGAAAGAGATTATGTTATTTAATTACATAGTGGTAGATCAATTTGTAAGCTGTTTAAGAAGCGTAAAAGCTATGAGATCTTGATATGCAAAAAATCATCATATCAAGGTCGCATTTTGAAAGCTTCAGCTTTTTTAATTTAAAATTTTTTATATTAAATTCTCGTTTTTCGTTGCATATATGTGTGTGTGTGTATATATATATAAAATTATGTTATATATTATATGTGTTTTATATGTCATTATATGTCATATTATACATATAATATTTCATATATGTATAAATTTTTTTTAAAGAAAAAAATAGTAACTCTCTGAAAATATAGATCTACCACTACTCAATTATAATGATCTAATAAATGTATACTATGATAATATAGTATTAAATATTGTCTGGAAGTTCTTAAACAGAGATTGTAAATAATATTGTATCACCTACATCGAAAAGATTATTTTCCAACATTTCTATAATTTATATACACACACACACACACACACACACATACATACACATACATACACACATACACACACACACACATAACATATATATACATATATATGGAAATTCCTAATTCCAGATTCATGTGTTCAACTGTATGTTAAGATCTAAGACAATGACATTATACAACATTATTTAATATCATATTAAAAGATTAATATACATTTTTTTCTGAAATGAAGACTTTTTGTTATTTCTTTTTCTTAATATTTATTTCATATTTAAATAATATCAAATATAATTGAAAAATACCGCGCGTCGCTATTTTTTTTTGACGAAATCAAACACTATAAATTATTTATATTAAATAAGAATCTTTTCGGTTATTTATAACAAAATTTTATTAATACAAAATTGAAGAATTATGAAAGATTTTTCTATGAAAACTAAACATTTCAGGTTTAAAATGCTCATAAAAGCCAACACACATAAGGAAATTTTAATCGTAATCTTAAGCCAATCAATCATAATCAAAATTATGATCTCAGAATACACAGCTGTGAGAGTGTTTGTATTGGTCGATATATTTATAGTCTTATAGTTACAATTAAAATTTATTTATGTGTGGTGACCTTAAAAAATATGTCTATTTAAATCTTATCATAAAAGTATATACAGGGTGTTTTTTCTGAAGACCACCCATCATACAGCGCTGTCCCTGATAAAAAACTGAGTTGATGAAGTCCTCTACAATTTTCGCAATGTTGATGAAATATTAATTTCTAAAGATTGCAGAATAAGCTCATATTCAGCTGCTCAATCATTAACTATTACAAAAATTGCAAAATGTTAGAGGACTTTTTTGATAAAAAACTAAAAAACAGTTTTTTATCAGAAATAATATCATATGATGGAGGGATTTAAGAAACCCTATGTGTGTGTGTGTGTGTGTGTATACATACATGTGTGTGCGTACGTGTATGTATACTTAGTAATGTTTTTCAATATAATTATTTTTTCAAGTCAATAAGATGTTGAATGAAAAAAGCATTTTATTTTCCCAGTTTTTAATTTTTTAACGATTTTATTTTTTATATGTTGTATTCACAGAATACATGTTCAAAATTTGCACGATTCACATGCGTACAATTTTATGTACTATGTTTATTCTTCAATTCTGCTAGTAAAGCCTCTTTAATGTGTGGCGCTATTTTAATTTTTCTTCTTCTGACCTTGCCAGACTTTACACCATTTTTCTTCAATATTGTTTCGGGTTTTTTCTTTTTTTTTAAACAACTCAACGGATTTGGTCCTCCTTTTTTCTTTTTCTTTTTCAATTTAGTTTCTTTCTCTTCTAGTCCTGCTTGTTTTCGCAATATTTTTATATTTTCTTTTTCCCATGTAGACATACCTAAACCTTTCTGCATAGCTTCAGCATGTTTACGGCTCGCCTCTGAAGGAGAAGCTAGTGTGGGTACTTTTCCATGTAAATAAACTAATGGAACTCCCGGAATTATCCTCAATTTATCCTGAAGTTCACGATCTTGCGTTGCAACAATGTATCTATAAAAAATATAGTTTTATTTTAAAAACATTTTTCCTAATACATGATCTTGATATGTTAAATCATTTATTTATTAGTATTGTATATTTGAGGAAGTACATATACTCAAAGTGACGAAAATATTATGAAATAATCTTTTATATGTTAGCATATGTAAAATAAAATAATCTTTAAAAATGTGATAAAAATTCATCAAAAAATATTTCTTATTCCAAATAAACAGTTTAGCCTATGGTTCCCATTTCTCTGGATTTTGACCAGAAACTCTGTCTTTTTGACCAAATCTCTGGCTAACCGATTAAAATTTTAGTGACTTCTTTTTAAGTAAAACACATCGATTTTCCTCTGAGTTTTTAAAAGATATTTTCTGCTAGAGTGTGTGATCTGATCTTGTTTTTAAAGAACATTCTACAAAACAATTCCAATTTTAATTTAATTTTTGCCAATTTAAATTTTGCCAATCAGAATTAGTTATCAATCTCTGGATACTGAAATTCTTACTGGAACACTAGTTGAAAAATGACAATCATATTTATAACATTTAGCATAACTTTCTTATTTTCTCATTGCTGCATTTTGAATGACAAATATTCTAAAGTCAATTTCTTAATTCTAATTGTTTCAGCAAAGATATATAGAACACAACTAAATTTATTATCTATATTGATTGTAATAAACAAAAATATCTACTTAATAAACATGTATGTTTAGCTTACAAAAATCATATTTTTTAAATTTAAATAAAATTTAAACTTGTAATTTTCAAAGAAATGTTAGAAAATGTCTTAAAAGAATATCAAAATTGAAAATCATTTTTTAATTCTTATATTTCTTAAATTTTTGATATTTTAATCTTTTCTGAAAATTTTAAGTTTAAATTTATTGAAAGTAAAAAAAAATATAATACAAGAAGTTTAATCCAATTAAAATCAACACTAGGTGACTGTAAAATTTTTTATATTAATAATTATGAACAGATGTTTTGACACTCGCTTTGAGTCCTCTTCAATATATTTATATCAATTTACAAAATAATGATCTTGCAATATAAAAGCTAATATACTGTTACGCTTATACAAAAATGTCCATACCAGTGAAGAAGTAATCAAAGATGTAAACAAAAAAAGTCCATGAGTAAAATATAATAAAGATATAATAAAGCAAAAACTCTTGGTACATATGTTTAACCTTCCAATATATTCATATGTACATACCTTGCACTATTATCTTTTCCTATCATAGATAAAAAACATTTTGAACCATTTATTGATTTCTTTTCATGTCCACATCTGTGTATAACGTACTGTTTCACAATTTGTGTAGCACCGTTAACTGCTGGAGAGAATATACCAAGTTTCTCAGTTTCTGAGATGATGCATGCTGTTGTTAGCAACTTAGTTTCAGACTGGAAGTACTTTGCAAGTTGCTCTTGTATGTTAAATTTGTTCTAAGAAATAATAAGGCACATATATATGATGGATGAAATAAATTAAACATTAAATAAAAAATTTATGAAATCTAAATGATAAACAGAAACAACGCGTGTACAGCTAACCTGTAATGCTGCAAATGCAAATGTACCATCAACAAGGACTTGAAAAGGTTGATGAAATTTATAATTATTCACATAAAATCCAAGAGTTTTCCGGGCTTTTTTCACTCGCAAAGTCTTCATTTTAAAAAGATAACTTTAATTAAACTTTTTCCAGAGATTGAACTTTTGAGCTAATCTAATAATTTTTTCATGTTTATTCGCTTTATTGGACTAGAATTCACTAGAATATAGTATCGCCAACATAGCAGACCTCTTTTCTCTTTGTCCCTATATATACGTATACGTTTAATATTTTCATGATTAATAAAAACATGACATCTTTTTATTTATTTTTTTATTTCAAAATACATTTTTATTATAATATCTTATTTAAAAATTTTTTAAATTTTCTACATTTATGTAAATTCTGTATTCTGTATCTACATTTTCCTTATTATCTTTCTGTATTATGTTTTCAGTTTTCTTTGGAAATATATTTTTTTATATTCTTATTTATTTTATATTGTCAGTTACAAGATGATGCATACTGGATTTCAAACCCTACAAATACATATTTTTGAATTCATGTATAATTTAAAAATAACTGTGTATGTAATGTACATTTTATACTTACACTTTCCCAAGCAAAAAAGTGCATGGATGTAAGCTTCTCTAATGGATCAATCATATGAACATTTAAACATTGTGATTGATCAATAAAAGGTCCACGAGAAGCTGCCATTTCAAAAATCGTTTTTTGTGGCATCTCCCAAACCGTTTTATAAAGTAGTTTTAAATCTTCAGGTATCTCCTCAATATTCTGCAAATGAGAGAGAGAGAGAGAGAGAGAGAGAGAGAGAGAGAGAGAGAGAGAGAGAGAGAGAGAGAGCTTATTAATGTTCAATATCTATTTTTAAAAAATATATATTATATATAAATTATTTAATATGCAATCTATTTATAATACAGTTAAATTAAACAATGAATATTTACTTGTATAGATCCGCCATTAAAAATAATTTTATTACACATGTTTTCATTCCAAAAACCTTTCTCGATTAGATCTCGTAGCAAATGTGGTTTAATAATTGAATATTGTTTTGATAATGCATGTATCGTATAAATGTTGCTCATATATGGCTCAACTGACATATTATTTTCCAACATTTGTGCCATAAATGCATCTGACATTTGAGCTATTAACAATGAATTGCGCAATCCATGTTTAGCAATTTTTGCCTTTAAAATATCCCAATCCCATAAATTTGTTGGTTTCACATGCCACATGTCAAACTGGAGGATCTACAAAAGAATTTGCATTTTCAGACGTAAATAACTTTCACAAGAAATCAATAATAAATAACAGAAAATGTTTTTCTTGATTATACTTACACCTTCACTGATAGGACTATCCTTATACGACTCATAAGGACCTTTTTCAATAGCTATTTCGCAACTGGCTTCTAGAGCGCCATAATAGAGAGTCTCAAAAATTTGAATGTTAAGTTCATTAGCTTCTTTGCTTTCAAATGGATATCTCATTAAAATAAATGCATCTGCTAATCCTTGTACACCAATACCTAAAGTTTTAAAAATTTTAAGGAGTTTAAGGAAAGCAATGCATATAGTATGCGAATTAAACGCAAATAGCTTACCAATAGATCTATGTTTATCACATGATAATTTTGCTTCTGGAAGAGGGTAAACATTAACGTCAATCATTTTATCCAAATTATAAGTAACGATTTTCGCTATTTCTTTAAGTTTATAAAAGTCGAAAACTTTCTTAGTAGAATTTACAAACATATTGACAGCGATTGAAGCTGTATTACACATGGCAACTTCATCCGAACTCGAATACTGAACTACTTCGGTAGAGAAACTGCTGCATTTAATTGTGCCTAAATGCTGATGATTTGATTTATAATTACAATGATCTTTAAAAACTATGTATGGCACTCCTGTTTCACATTGTATCTGAATAATGAGAAGCCATAACTCCCTTGCTTTAACTTGTCTTCGAAAACGTCCTTCTTGTTCATATCTAAATAGGAATATACATTCTTTGGAAATTATATAAATTCAATGTCATTTTTTTAATTATATTAGAAATGTATAATCAATTACTTGGTATACAATGTTTCAAATTCATCACCCCAAGCTTCAATTAATCCAGGACATTCATGTGGACACATTAAACTCCATACATCATCATCAAAAACACGTTTCATGAATAAATTTGGAGTCCATAATCCATAATACATGCCTTTTGCCCTCAATTGCTCCTCACCTATAATATAGTTGTTTAAAAAGATATTCACATATCTTTATCAAAACAAAAGAAAATATCAACAAAAAATAATAACCAATACTCCTTTTAAGATCCAAAAACTCAAAAATATCAGAATGCCATGGTTCTAAATATACAGTAATCGGTCCCTCATTTTTGCCATTTTTTGAGACAGTTCCAATAGATGTATCATATGTTTTTAACATAGGCACTAATCCATTTGACACACCTCCTGTACCCCTAATAGGTGTATTCTTTGCTCGAATGCAGTGTACATTGAATCCTATTTCACCATTATAATCACAAAGAACAGTAAATCTTTCTAATGTATCCAATATTCCATCTATGCTATCGCCAGACATTGTCAATAAAAAAGTGCTGTAAAAATATCGTTTACACTTAATATATTACTACATCTAATAAATTTAATTACTCAATAATGAAGATAATAATCATAATAATGATTAATGATAAAGATAATAATCACCTAGCCATTTGTTGTGTAATGGTACATGCGGTATCTATCGTCTGTGCAGCATATATGAAATATTGTTTCGACATAAAATTATATGTTTCAATAACCTTATCAATGTCTTCACCATGAATAGCTACAGCAATTCGCATTAACATGTGCTGTGGTCTTTCAACAACTTTTCCATTCAATTTCAACAGATGATCACTCTCAAGCATTTTAAATGTAGCATAACTATAATTAAAATCTCTATCATATAGTATTGCAGAATTCAATTTGTCTGCATTATTTTGGATAATTTGATAATATTTCTCACTGATTATAGGCAAGTTTTCATTCGTGATCGAGTTTTTTGCATATAAATTAGCTATTACCTCTGAGAGATACAAAATATTAATAAATCTTCAAATATTGATAAATAATGTAATATCGATGATTAATAATATCTCACCACTAAAAACTTTCTTTGTCTCCTTGTGTAGATTGGATATAGCAATTCTAGCTGCTAAGGTTGCATAATCTGGATGTTGATTAATCATAGTCGCTGCAGTTTCAGCTGCCAAATTATCCAATTCACTTGTTGTCACTCCAGAACATAAATTGGTTATAACCCTAAGTGCGATCGCAGACTGTAAGAGAAAAGTACAATAAAAAATAAATACAGTAATGCATTTCTCTTAAACTAACAATTTTTTATAAATTATAATAAACTTGACTTCAGGAAAACATTCATTAATATATAAATTAATGAAAAATTGATATAAAATAAAGTTCCCCTTTTTTTCATCAGTTACAAAGATACATGTGGAAACGCTTACTGGATCTACATAATTCATATCCAGACCGTAACATAGTGCCTCAATTCTTCCAGTTATCTTGTCGAAATGCACAGGCTCTTTACGTCCATCTGACAAATAAAACAAATAAAAAAGACATTGAAAGAGAAAAGATCAACGAAACAAAGATAGTTTCGCGCGAAGATACATCAAATAACGATGTTAAGTGGGAGTGTATTTGTTCAGTTTGATAAATTACCGCGCTTGAGAACGTGCATGATGCTTCTTTGATGACACTCTGGAAGCGTCGCAATTGCAACAATGTATTTTTTTCTCTAATTTCACTTGACGCTATAACAAGCAACCAGCGCGATTAAAAATATTACCTGAGTAATTTACCCGCGAAACGGAAGTGATGAATGAGATTGTCATGTGTACCACAACCAATCGCAGTTTCGTTTCGCGCGAACGTCACTTCCACAGACTTTGTGAAGGATTCTTTCATGCACCCTTTCGAAAAATTCAGATCTCTCACGTTTTAAATACATATATATGTAATACATATATTATATATGTAAATGATTCATGTAGTAGAATTAGAATGCGATAAGCGAAAAAGATATTTACAAAAATCGAGACAAATATAATACTTTTGAGCAATAATGTGCTTTTGATATGTAAAACTTACAAAATTGTACAAGTAGAAAAATTTATTGTATAATTGTTACATAAATAATCATTATCATTTGTATTTTGCAAAAGAAAATGAATAAATATTGAATTATTAATTATTAATGTAATTAATAAAAGTTACCGATGTATAAAAAGAAACGATACATATAATACATAATGTAAATATCTTTATTAATAAGCGGCATTAATGTTAAGAATTACTTACAGACAATACTTGAAAAAATAAAATAAATGAAAGACATAATATTTTATAAAATATATTTATTTATATAAATTTTATAAAATACATTTATTTATAAATTTTAATACAGAAAGTTTTTTCTTGAGAGATTCCTTAAATTTTGGAAGAAATAGGTCATTATATCATAGAACTTTAATACAATACAATCAATAATATATTACAACTAATGATAGTAAACTAATGATAATAAATATTTTCATTATCAAAAATATTTGTTTTTTATAATATATAATTATATATACTTTGTCCGAGTACTTATTCACGATGTCCACATAATTTTTAACTTTTTTTTTTTCTTATACTCATAATATATCTTCTATTTCATCATCGCTACTTGTTTCTAATAATTCATTTATAATAAATAATTTTAGTCTTTCTTTATCCACCATTTTGTAATTTTTTGCAACTTTTTTCTGTAATTTAAATTTTTAAGGTTTTGTAAAGTATTTGTAATGTGAATTTTTAATCGCAGAAATAACAGAACGCAATCTCAATTCTAATCTCTATGATGGCTTGTCGCTAGGCTGGAGTGAACAATGTAAACTAGATCAAAAAATTAATAGTTACAGTATTGAATAAATTAATCTGAAAAGGAAGAATTAAAATCAAATATACAAGTTGAACTTCACAGAAACTTTGAAAAATTAAAGATAATACATAAGCAAGAATTACATTTACTCCAGCCTAGTGGCTGGTAAGTCATCAATTGCAGAAATTGAAATTGCATTCACTACGATAAAATTTGAAATTCATACATACGTACTTTTACTTTACGAAATTCTAAAGAGAAAAGTTTGGTGCCACTTGAGAACAGAATCTCCTCAAACATTAATCTAATCTTGACGAATGTTAAACGTTAGCAACGCTACACTAGGATCGTTCACAGATCTGGAGGTCGATTGTGGATTTTGAAAGGAAGTAAAAAACAAGTTACAAAAGAGAGCAAAGATTATTAGGAATTGACCACCGAGCAAATGAGAATGAAATGAATTAAAATGGATTCAAATTTTCAGAAATATTATTGATTCACGAATGTTAAAATGAATGCTTTTCAATTCTGAATGCATTTTTATTCATTTATAGGAATTGCATGGAGCATCTCTAAGCTTTTCAATCTAAAAATAATATTAGCTTTTTCTGTGCACACAATTGTGAATACTGTTCAATTCAAAATTTTGAATAAGGAAATGCAGTTTTTCAATCCAATTGCATCCAATTGAATCCAATTGAATCCAATTAAATCCAAAAAAAGTATCGCTATTTAAAATATGCATTCGGATAGAAAAAAATTTCAATCCATTTTAATTCATTCTCATTTGCTGGGCAATTAAATTATGAATTTTCTAATGAATTTGCTCACTTTTGTAATTTTCACCTCATTTGAAAATACACAATCGACCTCCTGGGCCCTTTTTCTCGAAAAGTATCGCATAAAAATAGGGAAATACGAAAAAATAGGAAAATATTATAGCATTTCCCTAGATTTTCGTATGCGATACTTTTTAAAGTCTTATAGTCTATTTAAGTCTACGATACTAGAAATCGGTTCGAGACCTTGGATGAAGAAAGAATTGACCAATTGCAAGTCATATGACAAAGTGCGATTTGTTAATTTTTTCTATGTCCGTGAACATCGGACTTAAGAATAAGAGCTGTGTAAACGCTAAAGTAGGGAACACACTCGTGCATAACACATAACACATGAGACATAAGAAATTGAACCAATCAGAGTTCTTTATTTCATAGAAGGAAAAGAACAAAAAATTTTAATTGGTACATTTTCTTATGCATTATGTGTTATGCGTTAAGCCGGTTCTATATCGTAAGGTCGCAAGTTTGTTGCAACAGCCAATCTGAAGCTTGCATTTTGAAATCAATGCTTCATATTGACTGGAGCACAAGAATGTCGTAACACTTATTTAGATTTAAATTGTAGACGTAAATAACGCACAAGCTTTCACGTATGACATATAACTTATTGCCGTGACTATAAAGCCCATTTTACAATGGGCAGTAGTAGTAGTAGTAGTAGTAGATTAAGGAGTAGGCATAGAAGTCAACCAATCACAGTTGAATATGAGAAGAATAATCAACTATAATTAATCGTTTTCTATGCCTATTCTTTAATCCATTATTGCTACTGCCCATTGTAGAATGGGCTTACGAGACAGCAATAAATCAAATATGTTAAATCATACGCCAAAGCTTGTGCGTTACTTACATCTACAACTTAAGTCTCTAAGTAAGTGTTATGACAATTCTCAGACCCTATCACAACAAACTTGATCGGCTTGCAACTAATGTAGAACCGGCTTTACGCAAGAGTTTGTGCCTCCCCGTTATAGCATTGATAACAGGCAGTTGTGACGTAATTATTAATGACACGCTATTATTATGACGTCATGATCGTGTTTGTTAGCGCTATCTGCAGCTCCGCGAACAGTTTCCCAATTAGAATACTGCTTTAGATTACGTAAAAAAATGGAAATAACAGTAAACTTATCCAATCCAGATGCTCAGCCAATAAAATAATTCGTAGAGTATCCAAAGATAAATTTAAGGAAGCCTTAAGTACAAGATCTGACTATAAATACGGGCACTATGCATTATGCGTTATGCAAAAATCTGTGTTGCGGCTTTAAGGGCCATTCCACAAGGCTTGATTATGAATACGAGTATTAGAGAATCAACCAATTAGAATCCTTCCTTTCTTTCTAGTTAACGGAAAAGAAGAGTTTTGATTGATTGATTCTCTTATGCATTATGCATTATGCGTTATGTTTAAATCTGTGCTGCGGCCTTTAAACTCCGTCGATTAACTTCATCACCAGAATAGCTAACAGCAAAACTTAAAAATCTTTCTTTTATTCTTATTAGTAATAGTAAAGAAAAAGTGTTGTGTGGAGATAATGAATAAAACATTGAAATATAATATAATATATTTAACTATTTTCTATAAATTTTCTATAAATACTTATTTTCGAAATTAGATTAGAGATGATGAGTTTTTAGTTTAGCAGTTGGCAATACTGGAAGTTAATCGGCGGATAAAGTAACTGGTGTTGGTGAAACTGGCTTATAATTTTGCAATAAGATGAATTTCAACCGGTTAAAACTCGCCTTATAAATAAGTTTACTGCTATTTCTATTTCCGTTAGAGTACATAGATCTAGGGCCATTTTCACCAAGCTCCGATTAACTTAACGGGCCTAATAACTTTGCAGGATTCCAACTGAAGCTGAGAAAAAATGTGAACTGAAGAGTTAAACATATTTCATAATTATAATTAACTGTAATTTACATACTATATTGAACACAAATATAAGTTATTAACAAACAGCTGTAGAGAGAAACCTTGCTACATAAATTAATATTACAAATCTATATTTATAACTTCTCTCTTTGCATTTTTTCTCCGACATTCAGCTTCAGTTGCAAAGTTATTAGACCTGTTAAGTTAATCGGAGTTTGGTGAGTGTCTCCTGATTGGCTCATTAGCTTAAGATCACATCTTAAAGTTACTGTTACAGAAATTTTGTCTGTGATAGCCTTTTAATTAAGACGCTAATAGTCCCTCTGATTGGTTCATGACTTCTTAAG